ACACACACACACACACACACACACACACACACACACACACACACACACACACACACACACACACACACACACACACACACACACCTCTGCATCGGTGTTTCACTCACTACACATCTCTATCAGGTGTATTTCATTCACACTGAGGAGATAAAGTGTGCACTGGCGCCACCTGCTGGATAATTGCAGAAGAAGCAGGAACTCATAAGTATAAAAATATATTGGCAGCAGTAGAAGAAACACTTTTATAGTTTAAAAGTATAAATATACCAATCAGTAAATGGACTTCAAGAGAAAATAAAGATCCTACTGATTTATTCTGTTTGAATGACACTATCCTCCACTGCTGTGGACCTACTGTGAACACAGTGTAAATTACACATGATGTAACAGAACAGACAGAGCTCATTAAAGCGCCTCTCACATTTTAGGATATTTCACCATATTGGACTGCAAAGTACAAATCGTAAGCAAATTGGGATATTTATCCATATATGCAAACTGTATGAACACTGACCTTTAGCCAATTACAGCAGCAGAATATGATGGGGCATCAAGGCATCTTCAAAAACACTTTAAATATCTGAATGAGGTTTTATACTGGACGACTGTTAAAATAGTTGAAATTTTTAAAATGTCGTTCTTTATCCCAACGTGTTCATGAATAATCCTTAAAGTCCAAATCTGCTGTCTCTTTTTACAAATGTGTCAGGCTTTTCAATCATTTGCCAGAGTTTCTAAATTCTCCAGCTCTTTGTTTCCCCGAAGATCTAAAACTGAGGTGGTGAGTATTAGACTGACCCACAGAGGAGCCACTTTATGGGCAAACCTCCAGTCTCAAATAATGAGAATGATCCTTTAATCCAAATACTGAAAATATACATGATTAAGTTCTTCTTTGTATTCCCTTACCCTAACCATTCACTGCCTCTCCCTGATCCTGGTTCAGGTTTCTTCCTGTTAAAATTTAGTTCTTCCTTCCCACTCTCACCACGTGCTTCTCATTGGGCAGGGGTGACCAAACATTATACTAAGAGCACCACTGGAAAATCACTCAGGGGTCCTTTTTTAAGCATAAGAATTATACTACTATGCTGCCACCATGAGATAAAAACAGAAATTACACACAATAGGGTGAATTACACTTTATTAAGCAGCGTGGCACAGTGGTTGGCACAGTGGTTAGCACTGTTGCCGCACAGCAAGAAGGTCCTGAGCTCAATTCCACCATCAGCCCCTTTTCTGTGTGGAGTTGGTGTGGGTTCTCCCTGGATTCGCCGGCTTCCTCCCACAGTCCAAACACATGCAGTTAGTGGGGATAGTTAATTGATTAATCTAAATTGCCCATAGGTGTGAAGGTGGGAGTGAATGTAAGTGCGAATGGTTGCCCTGCGACCGACTTGCAGCCTGTCCAGGGTGTACCTCGCCTCTCGCCCTATGACAGCTGGGATTGGCTCCAGCGTCCCCCGCGAAGGAGAAGCAGAAGCTGATCGATGGATGGATGGCTAATTATATTTATGGTGGCAAGCAATACACAATATATTTTGAATTAGGAACGACAGGTCATATAAAATCTGACCTAGAGTGATGATTGGCCACCCAGCTGGACTTTGGACAAGCCTGTCAAAGAGGGAATCTGAGTGTTTGGGTCCTCTTGCTAACAGTAGGGCAGGTGTGTCAAAATAAATCCCACACATCACCTTTCTAGCGCACATGACACACAAGTGCTTAATCAAACAGAAGCCTGAAAATGATCAAGTTTACTAAGATAAAAAAAATACTGTGGGTCCTACCTTAAGTTGCAGATGAGCCTCAGGTGACGCCAGCTCCCCTTCCTCCTCTCTCTCCTCAGCATTTGCCGCCTCCTCCTCATTTTCTTCTTCTGCCGCCTCCTCCTCTCCTTCCATCTCTCCATCCTCCTTCCCCTCCCCTCCACTCTCTGCCTGTCCATTATCCTCATTGGTTGGTTCAAACTGGGTGGTGCCAAAGGGCTCTGAAGGACAGGACTCATCCTCAACAGTTAGGATGGCGACTCTGACCTCCTCTTCATCCTCGCCCTCCCTTCCTTGATGAGGCGAGGAGATGAAGGGAAAAGAGGTGAAAGAGGAAGAGGCAGAGATTGGGGTGTGTCCATTAATCAGCTGACTTTGAGCTTCATCTCTGGGAGAAGCCTTCATCAATTCTGTTTCCTTTCCCTCATCTTCCTCCTCCATCTTTGTCCCCAATTTAGGTTTAAGAGAACCATCCCTCTGTTCCCCTCTTTCTCTCTCCTGCTCATGTATCGTCTCCTCCTCTCCCTCCTCTCTCCTTTCTCGATGTCGTCCCTCCATCGATCGTCTACTCTTTCTTCTTAACCAGCACAGGAATGTAGAAGCATCCTGAAAAGATAACAGGGATCAAAACACCAACATCAACAAAAACCGCAGCACAAACCTCCACTGAGGCAGCTCATTGTCTGGGCAGGATTTACTTTGAAGGGAATAGTGACATTATCTATTTATTCATTTAAGTTTTTTTCCTTTTTAAACTATAAGAAGTTTGCACTTGTTCTTACTGCCCCACAAAGTGCAGGCTTTTAAAATCTAGCCTGTTTAAACCCATTTTAATGCACTTTTAGCCGTTTATGGCATTCTTATCTCATTGACTTTCAATCTATTGACCTTAAAGGAAAGATCAGAGGTCAAATGTATCAATATTTTATGTCTTTATATCGCACTTGCTATACATTGACCATACATACCAGACTACATAAGAATATTAGTTTTTAAGTTATAAGCTTATTCTGTCCATTTTTCCATGAATAAAACATTAATGTAAGATCACACAGACAGAGTAGGAACGTATTTGGTTCTTTTAAATATCTTCTTAGAACATAAAAAACTGGAATGTGTGTAAAAATTGGATTATAGTTCTGCTTTTGCAGTATTTTTATGCTGCCAAAGTATAAATATCTGAGAACAAATGGGATTCAGTGTGTGCCCAATGAGAAAAAATAAAGCAGGTTTTTATTTCATCAACCTATGCCAATTATTGTGTCTCATAAGCTAAAGACAGAAATCATTTTAATGAAGGACAAACAGCAGGTTTATTTATCTTCAAAACACAAAAGCATAAAAAACAATTTTTTTTCAGTGGTTTCATATTGAAATTAACTCATGGTCACATGTTTAAACAACACTTCAGTTTTGGTTTCCTTTCCTTCAGAATTCAGAACATTTGTCCATGCCTTATGTATTGATCACTTTAATAATAGTAATATCACTTTGTAACTTAGTTATATGAATGCAGAATAGCATCACAAATGCTGTATCACACATACACTTTCCCAAAGGGACCATTGTATGGAGGTCAGAGACATCCAAGCGCTGCATGTCAGGAATTATTATTATTTTCACCATCATCATCACCATCATCATCACCATCATCATCATCTCGGAAAGAAGGGAGGCAACGGCTAAGTGAAAAACATAGTTGTAATTCTCTCGGAAGGGAAGGTTTTAAGGATGAGCTGAACTGAAGGTTCACAGGCTCACATGATGTGTTGTGTTTTTGTCTGTGTATGTGGATAAAAGAGGTCAGAGCGGCGGCCCATCTTTAGAGACCACTTTGGCGTTTGACTAGAGATTTCACCATATTGCAATATGTAATTGAACCCACGTCAAAAAGCTGCTAAGCAGGTGTTTGCAGTTTATTTTAAAACTCTCATGACAGATGTTTTTGTGATTGAGCCCCAGTGACCCAATCCTCTTACGTACATCCATGGCCAAAAACACAAATGAAAATAAAACACACGAGTAATCAATCATTAAAAACGTATGAACATCCATTCCTAAATACGGAAAAGTCCATGGAAGCACCAAAGTTCATCTCCTCTCTTTAGATCCTCAAAGAAAGACAAATTCCTCCAGACCTTCTCTCTGCTTCATGAACACTCGAAGCAAACACTCATTTAATTTTTCCACCAAACAAACTTAGATCATGCCCCTTATATAACATTTGGTTTTAAAATATTTTTTTTCTTCAAACGGAACAAAAAAACAAACAAACACTTTTTTGACAAATTAAAAGCTCACTATAAGAATCTTTCTATTAAACAGTGAAAGCGTTTTCCTCTGCCATCCTCACCTCGAAATGTCTCAATCTGGAAAGTTATAAACCGTTCTTTGTTGAAAGTCCGCCACTAACATGAGATCTTGTTTTTCTCTAATCAGTGCCTCTAAAGTATGACGGGTGATCTATGCAGAGAAGAAACACCACAAAAGTGAGCTCTCAGCAGGAATAGAGACCAAAGAAACTAAAACCTAAAATTAACACTTTAACCTGTTGCCAACTTGATGACTTCTTTTTATTTCAATTTGACAAACTCTGCAGTGGCTCCGTAATTAGAAACACAAAGTCCAGCATGGAGCGGCTGAGTGAATGTGGTCTGGACTCTGGAGTCGAGTTCTACTGTCCACTAAAGCTGCTAACATGGTGTTTTTCTCCAGGACAGGCCTCGGTGTGAAAGTCTTCCTGCACTGAGGGCAGCTGTGGATTCCCTTCCTGTCCTCTTCATCCCAGAAACTTTTAATACAGTTCCTGCAGTAGCTGTGTCCACAGGCTGTAGTCACCGGATCCTTCAGTAGATCCAAACAGATGGAACAAGTTTAATTCTTTTCTATACAATCAGAGCAGATTTATAAATGTTGAATTCAGTTTTTGTGTGATAAATTTTCAGTTACCAGTGTTTCACTTTAGTAAAATTACCATGAGATCGCTTTCTACTTGTTAGAGATGCTGTTTTCTGCACTTTTTCCCTTTTAAGGCATAAACATTTTATCCCTTGTGGCCCATTTGGTGCTTTACTACATGTGAACGCTCTTACGGAGTGGTATTAGATTGATGCACCTCCTTAGCAGATTTGCTTTAGAGGAATTTGCAGCCAGCTATTTTACCCTTTAATCTTTATTTATCTTCTAATATATCTCCTGTTCTTGATTGCATAGCCCACACCAAATCACCGTACCACATTCTCCTACACTATGCCATAACTCTATGTACCATCCATCTAAATGTAAATAAACTCCACTCTTACAATTTACTCCTGGATTTCAGCCTCTCCTTCTGACTGAGGATAACTATTGTAGCAAAATCCAGCACTGAAATGAATAACAGCATTCTGTACAAGAAGAGTTGTGTAAGAGCCAATTAGCACATGTGCAGAGCTACAGAAATCAACTGAAAACCTATGGAGAGAACTAAAGTTCAGAGTTCACAGAAGGGGCCCACAGAACCTTTGAAGTCTGTGTGGAAGGGCCAAAATCACACCTGAGCTGAGATGAGGCAAAGGCTTTTCTACCAAGTATTAAATACATTTCAGTAGGTGTGTTCAATACGTTTTCACTGTGTGATTGTTCGTCATTACATAAAATTTATGGAGATCCATGGTTTGATTTCCTTGCATGTTTGGATTAGATGGGTCGTTACAGACATTTCATGTCAGTAGCACCTTTAGAAATAAATTTAATTAGAAAAATTGGTGACATGTTTAATACTTATTCTACCAGCTGTATATAGTAACTATTTTTAGAAAATATGCGGACAGAGTGGAACTACAGAGTTTCAGGTAAAAGAGGGAGGAGTTATCAGGGTTTCAATTTTGAGCCATCTTTTAATATAGAAGAGCGCATTTAAAACACCAGTGAACACAATTCTTAGGCTGTAAATGTTAATTTCAAAGTAATGAACAAAATAGAAGTTAAATCACTATACTTACAATATTAAAAGGTCATTATGCAAAAGACAGGTTAAATAAATCAACACAGTAAATAAAGATTCAGTTAAACTCTATAGTGTAGTATGGTGTAATATGGTGTAAGGTAAAGATCGTACAATAATACAGAGAAAATAGAAATCCTCAACAATTAGATGACCCCCTATGAGCAAGCACTTTGACAGCAGTGGGATGGAAAAAAATCCCTTTTACCAGGAAGAAACCTCCAGCAGCAGCAGGCTCAGGGAGGGGCGGACATCTGTAGCAACTGGTTGGGGTGAGGGGAGGAAGACAGGGCAAAGACACGCAGTGGAAGAGAGCCAGAGATTAATAACTAATGATTAAATGCAGAGAGGTGTAAAAGACGTGTTAAAACAGGTGATTGAAAAAGAAACAGTGCATCATAGAAGCCCCAGCTTCAGGCCTTCACAACTAAGGGAGGATTCAGGGTTACACAATCCAGCCCTAGCTGTATGCTATCCCATATCTTCCTGCACTGAGGGCAGCTGTGGATTCCCTTCCTGTCCTCTTCATCCCAGAAACGTTTAATACAGTTCCTGCAGTAGCTGTGTCCACAGGCTGTAGTCACCGGATCCTTCAGTAGATCCAAACAGATGGAACAAGAGAAGGTTTCTCGGTCCAGCTGAACTCCTTTCTGTGCCATTTCTCCTCTCAGTGTCAGTGACTGTGTGAGTTTCTCTGGGATCCAATGGAAAATATTTGTAATGTTTGTACAGACTGGAGCTGCTATGTTTCAAGTAAAAGTGGGAGTTTTGTTAAAGGAGTGGTTTGAAGCATACACTGCATATTTAACCCTTGTTATACAAGAGAGCACCTTTAAAATGCTGGTCAGCACATTATGTACAGTATAAAAATTCTAATGAAATATAAGTGAAATCAGTCACATGTGCTTGTAACAACTGACATTTAATGGCACCAATCACAACAATCGCCCCCACAACAACACCCAAAGCCAAAATACACTGATTACTGTAGCTAAAGAAGATATTTAAAACTTTTAAACAACTTCTGCAACGAATCCAACCACTAAAACTACACCAACACTTGTGACAAAAGAATGGCAGCCACTTACATGAAGCACCTGCTACAAACAACAGCAGCTCCAGCGATCAGACAAACCAACATCAAGCATCAAGTCAATCTGGCTTCTGCAACTATAATGACCACTACAACTTACAACAGCATCCAAAACATGGCAACCATCTGCAACTAAGAAGAACATCAAAACAATTAAGCAAAGCAAATCTTTAACCTCACAACTTCTGAGCCAATTAGTGAACCTACAGCACCAATTACAAAGCACATGGCACTCTGCAATCTATTTGTGTAATTTCACCAACACCAGCAATCAAATTCAGATCCTACAACAAAATCCCAGAATTATTATTATTTTATTATTATACCTTTTCTGCTAAACACCAAAAACAAATTTCTTTCCATGTTGCACAAACACTTATTCGAACATCTATAAGTAAATATAATTTAAGATTTAAAGCATTTAATCCCAAATAAAGTCAAAAACAGAGTGTTGTGATGCACGCTCAATCGTCCAGCTGTCCATCTGGACGTAGCATTTCATCACTCATCCAAGTGACTTCTTCAGTCTCTGCTGACTCCAGGTTTCCCCTGGAAACATTATAAACAGTACATCTGCACAATAACTGAAGCTAGCACCACTGAACGAACAATGTGCTGCGAGGTATTTAACATGCAAACTGTCATCACCTTTGATCCTGATGAAACAGAGCAGTTCTCAGATTCCTTCTACACATATTCTCACTACTGGCATACAATGATAATAGCAGACTGTCCTCCCGAGCTCATAAGCTGCCACATTCCAGGCAAATTAAAAAAACAAAATAAAGTTGATGCTGGACTGAATTTGATCATGAGAGTTTTGACTAACTGCAGTGTACAGTTCATTACTGTAGCACAGCGTAAATCTATCAAGGGACTATGATTTTCTCAAGATCTGCTGGATTAGTCTGGAGATTGTTTTGCCAAGGACTATCGAAAGACTGTCACACAGGACTCCAAACAGTACATCACCATCAAGTGTCAAATGTTGCACTGAATCCCACAAAAACTAACAACAATCACCAAAAACAGCTTTCATTGTATTTTTTTAAAGCGTGTACTCAGTACTGTGAAATGGTCTGAAGGCTGACTGAAAGGTTGTTCTCTTTTCATAGAACTTCATCCTGATATAAGCCAGTGGTTACCAACAACGGTTCATTCTCGCTCTAAGCCAAGAGTTCAATGTCTCAACAGTTTGAGGTCTTCTTTATTGCAGTTTTATTTTTGTTTTAAAATGCACCAAATGTTTTCAGTGGACAACAGATGTGGACTACGGGGTGGCAGTTTTCACACCAGCAGTCTTTTGCTATGATGAATTGCATTTACATAGTGAAAAAAGCAAGACCTTCCCCGAAAACATGTCAGATGTGTCTGTGTACACCAAGTACCCATTTTAACTGATTCAACATAAATACAGGCTTTTCTCTGTTATTGCTGAGAATTTGACTAGCGTTTGAGTAAATAAAACCTCCTCCTCCTTATTTCAGGATAATTTCCCTTCATGCAAAGACTAATTGACCTGTGATCTGTCAAACATCAGTCATTTAGAGGCAGACAGAACACTTCAATTAGTTTTTGGCTCACTGACTTTTATACATCCTTCATTTATCCAGGTAAAAAGGTAAAAGTACGTTTTATTCAAAAAAAATTTAAATCTATTTTTCAAGAAAGATCTGGCCAAGAGTGCAGCAGAAATCGCAACAAATATAACACAACATTTCTGTTGTTAAAACAACAACAACACCACACACACACACACACACACACACACACACACAATCACTTTTCCTGGCCATGTATTTGACACAAGCCGTCCACAAAGACAGATGTAAACACCTAGCCTACATAACCCAACCAATCCCAGAGCCTACAAGACAACCCGAACATTACCGTTCATACTTGTATAATGAGACTCAAATCCTGCCTGCAACAAGTGTGTGTTTTGATAACTACCCATATGATGTCGTACTTCAAACTGCCCGCAGCTAAAAAATATCGGGTATCTCTATAGTTAACATCGATATCTCCGTCACTTTTACAACCACCCTGTTTAGCCACTAAAAAAATCAATACGACTATGTTAAAAGCTTTAAACCGAGACGGACTTACGTTTTGAGCTTTCCTCTCGCTCTTCGGACTTTAAAATTTAAAAACCGGCATTTTCTTCTTTGTTTATTCTTCACAGCAGCTTCAGCGTTTCCGCTCCAAACAAACACCTCGGCTCTGAAGATGTCTCCAGAGCGTTGAAATTACACACTTTCAGCTTCTACAAAACCTCAAACCTCAGAAAAACTAAACTTTATCCCGTTCTCCAGTCTCTCTTTTACGCATGAAGCTTTGTTTGGCGCGGTTTAATGACGTCAGGCGCCTGAATTACATAACGCTCCGCCATTGTCCAATCAAACGCCTCACAGCTTCCTCTGTGTGCTGACGTCTCGTTGTGAAAATCTGTTTAGTTTACTGTGGAAAAACAAAATATCTGCAAACCTGCAGCTCTCAACCATTATAATAATGGTGGCATAACTTTTTTAAAATTACATTTAGTTATCTAATAATACACTAATACTAAATACTCTTATACCAAAGCCTGTTTATTTCAACCCACAAATGCATTTTCCTCACAGATGTGGCTCCATTTAAGGTTTCACAGAGGTGTACACAATGGTGTGAGGTTCATTGCCAAGAAGCACTGTTACAAAAAATAAATGACCAAACACAAATGTCCTTGCTTTTTATGCTAAAATCCTGATTTTATAATATATATGAGACTGATATCAGGACCAGAGCAGATGGACTAGACGCCAAGCAACTTTGATGGGGTGAAATTAGACTGAGCTCACTTTATTTCATTACAAAAAAATGAAGAAAAACAGAGAGGAAGATTAATGCTTCCACCTTTACAGCCTGCACAACAAATTCAAGCATAAAGAACCTGTCTGAAACCACAACATGAACCTGTAATAACTGTACATGCAAAGTACACTCACTGCAAATTTGTTTTGCATGTCTCAAGTGAGAATTGGGATAACACATTTTTTTGTTTAGTTTTTTAACATACAGATTTGAATATTTGCTCCACGTCTGACAATGTTCATGTAAAGTTTCCTTCAGATTGGCCCACCATAATTGGTTGATTTGAGATTTACCTATTATATACATATATACAAAGATGAAGGGTAAGGACCTTGTGTAATACAGCTAGCACCCCCATAGCAAATTGTAACATATGGTAGGAAGCGAGGGCTGGGAGACTCTGTGATACAACCTGTACCACTAATCTTAACCTGATTTACAAAGAGGACCTTTCAAGTTAGCATATTTAAGAATATTCTATATTACAGCCTGCAAATCTAAATCTACACTGATGTTCTTCATTCTTGTATGTGACTGCATCTCCCCTCTCTCTCCACTCCACCTCCCAGTAACAACGTCCAGTCAGAATTTCTCCACACAGAACCTGCCAACATAAAGCAGCGGAGGACGGTGATTTCATTATTACTGTGTATGTGAAAGATTAGCTGCCAAACAGAACAATTTACAACAAATGAAAGCTAGTCAGCATAGTGACAAAATCACCGAACATCTGTGAGCTCTACGGGTGACCACGTGTGGCTCGTTGGTCTAGGGGTATGATTCTCGCTTTGGGTGCGAGAGGTCCCGGGTTCAAATCCCGGACGAGCCCGAATTGCTTTCGGATGCTTTATTTACGCCATATGTCATCGTTATGGATGAAAATGTTTAATTTCAACTCAGGAATCCTTTAACATTTATATCATATTTAAGTTAAGCTTTTGCAAAGTTAACTTGTATAACTCAAACATTAATTAATTAACATAAATGATGTACTCAAAAAAAATCATTCAGTCATTAATTGACTAATAAGACATTCATTGGTGTGTCAGAAAGAAGATAAAGAGGTCATGATACAAAAAAGTGATGCCATTTTAAAACACACTTTAACTATACAACAAAAGTTCAAACTGTTCTGATAATGCGAGGACGTTGCTGTGACTTATACAGTGTCTGCTTATTTTTATCTCTTCTCTAAAAAGCATCAATAATATTAGCTTAAACCCCGTAAAATTATTAGCTAACTTTAATCTTCTGATCCACTAATCTGCTGGTATATCGCGAGTCGCCAGCTGAGAAGCTGATGAACTTTATTATTATTATTTTTTTTTAGTGATTTTTGTTCCTATTCTGATCTAATTGGGCTTCAGTGTTTCGGTACAGCTGCAGATCCAGGTGACAGCAAATCAAAATGATGTCACCTGTGAGTGTCCAGCTGCAGCCTGTGTTCAGTTTAAATATTGTTATACACCGATATGGATCAGTTCATGCTTTTCCCCACTGTAACATTTAACAAGGACTGAGAGAGGAGGACAGAGAGGGAGAGAGCAAAGAGAAACAGGTAAGAGTGGACATGTGGTCAAATTCACCACAAATGATAAAGCTGTAGATTCTGTTAACCCACATTCAGTGATGATGATTTGACATAACTAAGCCGTGTGTTGTCCTGTTAACAATCGTGAATCCCAAACTGCTCTTGTACTAATTATTATGAGATTATATTTTTGTCATTTACCAGCAAATACAATTCTAGTTTAGTGAGGAGGATGAAGAGAGAGAGGTTGTACAAGAACAGGAAGAACGAGGAGAAGATAGTGAAGTTAGCTGGAAAAACTACAATTATTATTCACAAAGTAAGTTTTCATGTTGGCATCTTGTACAGGTTGGTGGAGTGGCAGGGTGATGCTACTTTAGGTGTTTGACGATTTGACGGATATAACGAGACCCAAGGGAAGCGAAACTCAATACATTCACGTAGGACACAGACCTTCAAAGTAAAACAGGAAATGTAACATAGACGCAGACTTGACTAGGGGAGACAGAGCAACTAAGAAACACAGAACAATAACAAGGAGACACAGAGGGCGGCTACTAAATACTAAATACTGAAGAGAATACAAGAAAGCCGAACTAATACACTAAGACTACTGGGGCAACAAAGAGAACTAAGATCATAATACAAAAACTCAGAGACACAAGGAACTCAAAACACTGGGTCACCGACCCAGGACCGTGACACCGCCCGCCTCTGTCATCTTATCCTTTTTGACACAAAGAGTTCTTTAACTTCTTGAATTGAGGTTTGCAAATGTGAGAAGGGTTGACTACATTTGCAAACAGTATTGTAAATAACCCTAAATACTTTTATTTAGTTCCTTGCACTTCATTTTGGCACTTATCGCTGTTTCCTATCACCAGCTTCGTGTTTGAGTTTAGAAGCTTTTATTTTGAAGGGACGATTTCCCGTGAAACACTGTCGGCGTAGTTTTAGCGTCAGTCCCTTGGAGATTTCTTTTGTCATTAGCAGCCCCCTTGATAGAGGCACAAGGTAGTTTCATGACATAGATAAGGACATGTTTATATGTTTTGTGTGACAGAGGCTACATTTGTTAAATTTTATGTTGAATCCTATTTTATGATGTAAGGTTTATGATTGTTAAGAGTGTAGATTTTTAACTTACATGCTGTTTCTGTGTATACATCCCCAGCTCCTATGGTGAGGTTAATGGTTTACTGCCATTAAGCCTTCAAAACCTAATGAGTAAAGTGTCATCCTTCATTCGGTGGTTCGCTACAAAAAGATGTTGACCTACTGTTGTTTGTGTTCCCTTGTTCGGATATACAGGTTAAAGATGTGTGAAACCAACATGTGGTCATGTTTCTGACCTGATGGGC